ATGATCTGAGCATAGGACATGGGTAAGGGAACTTCAGGTTTGCATAGAAGATCTAGTACTACTCTCTGCGTAATTTTAGGCAAGTGGCTTTACTTCTCTATCTCAGACTTACTATCAGACTGCTGCAGAGAAAGGAAAAACATTTAGTGCACCTCAGAGGGCTGCTGGAATGCATAGAGAATCATTCCCTAATATGTTTGAAATGTGGAAATATTTTAAGTGAAATGGAAGTTTTGAAGAAGGTAGAAGGAGGAAAGAGCCTGGCTTGATACCCGAGCGCTGTTCTCCAGCAAGGGGGTTTGACAGATGTGCAATTTACTTGATGAGGGGGTTAAACCTTTTAACCAACATGACATAAGGACCGCTGCTTTAGTTAAGGTACTATATGCCCTAAAGCTAATATACTCTTTAAGCTACTAGACAATGACTTTGAGAAAAAAAAGAATATTGTTTTCAAAATAGAGATATTTCATCAATCAGCTAAGTAGCTTTGAAATGACTAAGAAACCAGCAGTGTTAATGCCCGGTATGCTTACGGAAAGACCACTGCCCTCAGAGCTGCAGGGGCTGCAGCTAAGGCTATATCCCTAATGCAGCCTGTATGTTGCTTAACAGCTCTGAATGTCTGCCCGCAGACACAGCTTACATGCCAATGGTAAATCTCCAGAGGAAAGAAAACTATTTATTTATTTTGGTAGAATACAAGGGCAAAAACATCAGCTTTCTTGCAACAGAAACAGTCCCTATATGCTTAAAAACATTACTCCTACACAGACAGACATATACTGATTATTTCTAAGTATATGCACATAACACAAAGTCAAAGCAGTTTTGATATTTTTAGCTTAAGTATAAATGGAAGGTAGGGTCAGCTTTTCTCGATGAAGTACAGCACTTCAGAGTTTCCTTGAAGGCCTTGGCATTACAACAGCTGAGGGTTCAAACATGTTATTTGTGCTGTTAACGGACACTATGGACATCTGATTCTGTTTTGTTAAATTAAAGATCAACTGTAAAACAGAATGGGGTTATAAACTTCTTTAAAAGGCAGTTTTTAAAGCCTAAAGTCTAAAACTTCTCATTAGGCAAAGCCTTAGTTATAATACTAAGCTTTTCTGATTTACCTCGTTCACACAAATGATTAAAATAGCCATTACACAGATATGTTACATGGCAAAGGACATCCTTTACAACACAGGGATAGCATTTTTGCCAAGAAATAACTGAAGTTAACTTGGACTCATACAGTTAATCCAGCCAAGGGAAATATAAATGAAAACTGGAGAATTATGGAAAGAAGTGAGAGAGCTGAAGAAAGATTCCATGTTAATGATGTGGTGTGTTAAGTATCTACGTAAGATTAATAATTACTTGAACAATTATACATCTGAGACTATCTTCCTTAAGATCCCATCTTAAGGGCAGGTATCAGAATTACTCAAAACAGAAAAGAAACCATAAGTTAATTGTAATTAAACCACAGTTGCTACTTAAGAGATGTACCTGAGGTACTTTTAAGTGAGAGGGCTTTGGGTACTGCTGGCCGAGCCTCCCTCATACGCCAGTTGTGTGGCTCCATCCCATTGGTATCACAGGAGTGAGCGGTACCTGACTGAATTTTGGGCTGACCATCTCCACTGCAGTGGTGTGGAAGCAATGGACACAGTTCTAGGTCTCCTGGAACCCTGTACTAAAACCACTTTTGGTTTATTTGCCTTTGTTAAATTCACATAGAAGTGAGTTCAGCACTCGCAGGCTAATCTTGCGCACACGCAAGTTAAAGAGCATAGTCAAAACACTATCATGGGATAACTAATTCCTGAGAAAAGCGAGACCTGCCCAGCATGGGCAGGACGAGGGATTTTCAGACATGTCCTTGCAGTTAACATAGCAGCGATCCAAGGATGAAGCCTACCTTTGGCACAGAGAACCAGAATGTGAGTGCAAAGACTGTCCAATCGTTCTTTTGGGCTGTAGAATTTTCTCCAAGTACCCGTCTGAAGGAGATAATTGATCATTATTGATTTTAAATGGGATTTTAATCACAACACACTCTACAGATTTTCCTCTCAAACTTACACTGGCTTCCTGTGACTAGGGCAAATATCAGCTGGAGAGTTAAAGGTGGGCTCCACCCTGTCACCGAGAAACAATTACTGGAGAAGTAGGTACTTAAAATGCTTTTCTCTTTTCTTCTGCAATGAATAAGGAGAAAAGATTTAGAAAACCACCACTTGAACCATTTACAGGCACTGGCAGAAGCCATCCCTTTGCCCCACCTTGTCGTGGGCAAAGCCGCTGTCAAGACCCGGTGTGTATTCACACCATGTGGCAGTCACTGCACCAGGCAAGTCACAACACAATCAAGTACTATCAGCCGGATGCTTCCGAGTTCAGGATCCTGCCTTATGGTTTGTTTAACATAGCTAAAAGGACATCATACAGCCCAACCCTTCGCAGGAAAAAGCCCTTTAAAAAAAAAGCCTGAGAGCTAGGGGTATTTAATTCCCAGTACTTTGTCTTTAATCATCGTTTAATTTTTTTGTTTGTTTGTTTTAATAGAAGCATGGTACTGGCCCTTGAAAAGGGGACAGCAGCTGGTTGCCAGTGTTAACATACTAATATTTCTTAGTGTGACTCACATTGCTTTATCATTACCTATAATATCTTTTAAGCATGCAAGTGTTTGTGTATATGTATCCTCCTTGGATCAGTTTAAGTGAGCTAAATTAGTTGGGGTTTTTTTAATGGAACATTCTGACATTGTACATAGTTTTAGGGTTTTTTTCCAGTAGCCCTTCTTTTTGCTGTGTATACAGAAGTCTCATGTAGAGAACTTTCTAAAATAAAGTGTGAATATTTTTATTACTCCTTTGTACAGTATTCTAAAAGAAACTAATAAAGTAAGTATTAATGTAAAAACTTGTGTTTGATTCCTTGAATTTTTACATGAACAGGTTTTGCTTTAAACAAGCATGGCAAATGAATACTATGCAGCAATTCCAAGCCCACCAAGTGATAGATTGCGGTAAAGCAAAGAGCTTGCAGCCCACTACATGGATTCCTTCACAGGACACCGCACTGGCGAGTTCACACAAACCTCCTGCTACTAACAACGAGCCATAAATCGTGGAAATGTGTGTGCACCACTGGTCAATAAAAGTGCCTCCAGAAACATAATACTGTCCTAATAATACACACCTAATTAGTTAGCTGTCTCATGGGTTCAGTGAAGTCTTCCTAAACCAGAATACACTGCTCTTCATCCTAACAGATCAGAAGTTTAAATGAAAACCAGAATCACGCTAGAAATGAAATCTTACACGAATTATACATCTGTAGAACAAGTTATCCACAGCCACTGTAACAGATCACAAGTCGACTTGTTAGTGCAGACTCAGGCCAATGACTTAAAGTTTTCAGAGGAAGAATTATGCAAGCAACAGGCTTTAAAGTTTTCAGAGGAAGAATTATGCAAGCAACAGGCTTTATGTGCCCTAATTTAGCAGGTACTTCCTTATCTCAGAACGGAAAGGTGGAGAGAGAACAATAACCCAGCCCTGCTGCTTTATAGGAGCCTTATGACTTCAGAGGCAAAGCAGACTGCTCTGCACGTTTCCCGACGAGAGAGGAGAAGCCATTCACTCCACAAACAGGCAAGTACATTTTTAAGAGCTTTTGGTAAGGAAGAGGGGTGGAGCAAACTGTTAAAAAGTGTTCTTGTTTAGTTTTTATCTCTTTTTGAGGTCTCCTAAGGGAATGAGTCCTGTAGGTACTACTAAAATGATCCCACATTGAGCACTTAAGACCATTTCCCCTCCTCAGTTCCATCGCACACAACACACCATCCTTTGGGATGTGACAGTCTTTCTACTTTCTGGAAGAATTCAGCTAAGTCAGACTCATTCTTCAGACCCCTGCAGGACATGAGGGAGAGGGAAATATCCCCCCACCCACTCATCTGAACTGTAAACGGGGATCAATGTCTTTTCTCTTACAAGACTGGATAAAGTAGGGTGCAGAAGAGGGGAAAGACATGCACGCTATTCAATAAGCACAGGGTTTTTTCATCTGTAAGACAAAGTCCTTCTTCATGTTTGAAGTATACCAACGGAAGCAAGCAGATAAACTCTGGAGTAAAACCAAGCTGCAACAGGAAACCAACAACAACTTTGTTTCTGCCTGTCAAACACCCCTCTCCTCTGCGGGGAACACAGGCAGAGCACCACCAGCGCGTACCCAAGTAGCTGTGCTGGGATAATATTTTTATATTTTGGGGGAGATTTGCAGTAGAACAAGCTCTCCTACTTCCTCCCTCAATGCAGTAATCGCCTCTCAGCACTTTCACTTCCTTGCAGCAAGACTTCAACAAAACCATTTTTCTAATGCTCTGTTTTGAAACAACACTAAACTCTTCCTGTCTGCCAGGCAACAAGATGCACAGGGAAAACACAGAAGCCGTAAAAAACAGCAAGAAATCACTCAAGCTTTTTTCTTTTTAAATTTACTTCAGGGCAACGCATTAATTAAAGATTAAAGCGTTTAGGACCGTGATAGGTACTACATTAAGAAGCAATGTCTAGTTTAATAATGAAAACTATTATGGTAAGTACTGGTATATGCATCAAAATATCTTAATTGAAAGAACAGTCACAGACTCTGGTGCTGAAGATCAGCACCCTCACAACTTTCTCAGTCCGCTCCACGACTCATCAGCAGAGAGGGATGAGTCTAATCAAGCCTCATTAGCAAACCACAGCTCGTACTCCCACCTCTCCAAATGCTTCCCTATACACAATCCTGTGAAAGCGGTAACCCTCCATAGGGCTATGTGGGGGTTTGGGGGTTATTATCGATTTTGAAAAGTTCTTACTAACTATAATTAACAGATATTTTGTTACAACCTTCTGCTTGTATTTAAAGTCATTTTGCTTAACTTGTCTTGCCTCTTTTCCCAAGGCACTTTGCTTTCGTTCAAAAATTCATCCAGCCGCAGCAGAATGTTTCAAAGAGTCACCCAATCCATAGTAAATCAAGTGGATTCAGGAGACCTGGTCCCAGTCCGCAGCATCTTAGACAATCAACATTTCAGACCACTCTGCTTAGTGACAGAACAAAGGAGATTCGTGTTCTTCGGATCTCGCCGCTACATGCAGACATTCTACAGATTTGACGAAGTGCTGCTGCCTGCAGGAGACGATAAAAGCACAGGTAAAGCCCACATTGATCAATCTTAAGTTCACAATTTCCACAGACAAAACGTTGGGATCATTTGTGGCTGAACTCTACCACATCCTATCTTTCTTGTGTTCATAGCAGTTATAATACTGAGTCTGTGTAATCACACTTAAACTAATGCATCGAATTATTTCAGAGTCCCTCTTTCCGAAAGGAGGCCATCAAGATTCAATGCAATTTTCAGTCAAAAAGCATGTCAGTGACAATGTTGATGGGAGTGCAAGCGCTTGCGTTGAGCCTGCAAGCGCAGAGGTGAAAGGAGCTGCCTCCTTGTCCAAAGAGTGGTCCGTCAAGCTGCAGCACAACCACATATCAGTACCAGAACTTGAGGCACTAATACCAGAAAGGTAAGGCAGACAGAAAGGGAGAACGCGCCCTCCAGTCATCCTCCTCTACCCCATGCCAGGTCACGCAATGGTTTTTCAACCAAGATTAAGACCCGAGAGTATCCGTTCTCCCAAATTATGAATACTTGTGGAAGACAGGAAAGAGAGGCAATAAAGATTCCGTAACAGCTTTGTAATGCTTATAGATTTCTTTGTAATTCAGAAAGTAGGAACACCTCAACACGGAGGCAAGACATCTTTTCTCAAAGTTTGTACCTGGAAAGGAGCATACAGATCAGGACAGATCACTTGTATGACCTGCCAAGCCATGGTCTTGCTGCCCCAGTCCCTCTCAGACATAGAAGGGGAACGCGTTGAGGACAGCAAAAATTGCAGCCCATTTTCTGCCATTTTTCCCCCCAGAAGCCCATGACATTGCAACATTTACATGTACTCACGTAACATGAGCAAGGAGGCAAGCATAAGGTTTCTGGCTCTGAGTTGACTACCATATTTTTGTCATAACTCTCAGAAAATCAGCTAGGATATTGCAATGTTTTTTCTCTTTTAGAAAAATAAATATGGATCACCCCTTCATTAAACAACTACAGAAAAAACCCCAACGTTTATACATAGTTCGTGAAACAATAGAAACCTTAGAAGACACCATCTACGAGGAATCCACAGAGGGAGGGGGGAGCCTCAAGATCCAGGCTTACGCCACGTTATGTGCAAAGGTTTGATTTCTCTTCAGGCTCATGACTCGGTCCTTCCCAAACATCTCCACACCATCCACGCCTAGTAACAGATTTTTTTTTTTTCCCCCCCATTGACCAGGGCACCAGAAAGAACAAACAAAGCATAACTATACCCAAGGGCTGCACCCTGGCATTCAAGGTAATCCCGCTGACCATTACAGATGGATCATGGTGTAAGTAACTTTCAGAAACTACCAATTTCTGCATTCAGGAAACAACGCAGGAGAGGGAAAACATTTTCTGAAGTATCATTCAGCCTCGCGGGCACCCTTAGCTCATTTGCAAGGACGTGAACACACGCACTACGAGTGACAGAAATCGCCTGGGAAAGGGCCATACATAGCGCGTAAGTTATAAGAAAGAGATGGGAAAGAGATGCAGTTTTGGGGGGGCGGTTGATAAGGAAATGAAAGAGGGATACCGAGAGTCCCAGCTCTAAGGCTTGGGAACTGCAGAGCTCCTGTTGAAAAATAGCACAGAGGGCAGAGGTCTGTTTTCTTTTCCTTTCCTATTCAGAAGAAAAAAGCCAGGGAGAAAAAAAGGGTGGCTTACCCTTCAGTGGGAAGACTGGTGTAAAAGACACTTATGCTGGATAGGTAGAGAAAGAGAAGATTGAGATCCACAAAACCTGCTGCAGAATTTTAGAGACCGCATTTGGTTTGCTTCCCCTACGCTCTGCACTTCCACGCCTGCATGGATCTTGTTGAGTATAAGCTGTCATTTTAATTTACTTGTATTTTAACACGCTTACTGGCTGATACAGACCCTAACATAAGGCACCTGACAGCAGGGAATGAGGTCTAGGAATAACAAGTTTTAAATGAACGGGCAGAAGACAGATGCACTGGAGAAGAGCGCCAACACCAGTCTCACCTACAACTAGCACATGAGATTTCAGACCTGGGATACCAGTATCTTCAGTCTTAAAAACAACACTGGTAAAAAAAAATACCTATCGAGCTTTAAGTATTCTTCTAAATTGGTAATGCTCTTTTTATCATGTTGCAGTTCTTGGCCACTTCACATCTAGAGCAATGTTCGAATCTGATGGTAAGCAATGTATTTTACTGCTTTGACTTGCACTGCTTTTATCTTGTTGGGCTAAGGTGGAACCTCTCAGGATAAACACAAACCTCCAAAAGCAATGTGTTTTCTGTAGAGCCTATTACTCGAGACATGAAAACTGTCCAACTGAAAACTCTATATTGCTTTTGAAAATATTCATAGAAATATTTCAAATTCTAAATGTAGGGGTGCCAAGGAACGTCTAGTAGGATTGCCTAGTTTAGGAGTGACACATTTGGACTCTTTCTGGCTTTCAGGTTTGTCAGAAGGAAGATTAGGACAACTGAAGGTAGAATTTAAAGCGAATTGTCAAATTCTCTCCAAGTTGTCTCCTGATATGTCCATCATACTTTTAAAAGCCATCAAAGCTGTGATGAGAGACAGGAACCTCTTTCAAGAACTGGCCCAGAAAGTAAGTAAAGTTCTTCTTACTGAGAGGATTTATAAATACAGAGATATCCATTATCACACCTCTTGCCCCAGAAGTCATCTCTCCTGTGCCACAACTATCAATCCAAAAATCTTTTATTCAGCACATCTGTCTGGTCTCCATCACAATACAGAGAAAGAAGGTGCTCAGGACAGAGTCAACTGCTGAAATATGTCCTGAATATAGCCTAGCAGATTTATCTGCAGGTATCAAACCATTTAAATTTCATATTCTGTCTTTAACTGGAGCTGGTGTGAATGCTAAAGCCTCAAATCCAGCCTCATAAATAACTTAGGGAAAGGAGACAGATACTCCATGACTGCTCATGTGCTTCTGCAGTTAGGAGTGGAAGAGATTATCAGCAGCCTCTTCTCTTAAATCCTGACATTTCTTTTTTTTACCCCCCTAGATGGAAGCAGTTCTTGATGAAACTGATAGCTGTGAGCTGAAGACAGAAAGCCCAGACTTAAAAGACCTGTTGAACACCTTACGGTATTCAAAACAGCTTCTTCGTCAGATGGCACGAGCAATTGCCTACACTCTCGATGTGTTAGATGGTAAGGCTTTCTGGCCATTTTCACAGAGAAATCCAGTAGTGCCAGAATACATGAAGAGCATTTCTACCAACAAGACTAACAGAATATAGAAAATTTACAGAGAGACTTGCAGAGGATTTATGTAAAATAATTTCTTAGATTGTGGGAATGAAGGTGGTTTATCCTGAGAGCACAGCACTGTCTATAGCAGCTGCTGTTCAGCGACGGCTGGAGAGTGGCAGAGCAGCGGCTGCCAGGAGCGTTACACCAAACTACCACAGGGCCCACAAGGGGATCCCTGAAAAGAGGGCTTGAGATCAGAACTGAAAGGTAGGTGAAGACAGCAAGACCATCTTACAGAAATAGCAGTGCAAATTCCAGGGTTCTTTTCCCAAGGCTGCCACAAAATATGGTTTGAACTTCCCCTCAGCCCCCTTGGTCTCTACACTCAATGTCACCAACATCTGTACCCAGAGTAACAGCGGTATTTGTCTCACAGGGAGGCTGCACTAATCATTTAGTTTAAAACATCTGAAGAACTTTTGACCAAACTGGCATTCCCTGCAAGACAGTTGACGGTCACCCTTCACATCTCACCAGTTGTCTCTGAAACACTGGGTTGGTTTTTTTTGGTACAAACCTGTTTTAATTCTGCAGAGCTAATGGAAGACCAGCTGCTGCTGTTGCTAGAGTCCTTGGAAGAGAAGATCATGCACCAACAGCTTATGCTGGTGAGAGAACACACATCACATTTGGCTCAAAATGAAGGGGGAAGGGGGATGTTATTTTACATAATGCAACATAGTAGTAGTATCACAACTTAAGATAATAGCAGGAAGAAGGGAAAGAATAATTGCTTCAAACTTGTCAGGGATCAAAATACTCACTTTGAGAAAAATCCCCCCAAGAGATGAAGACCTAAGATTTCTAACAACTATTTTGCTGATAATAAACATTAAATTGGACACAGGTGGCTACCATTTTTCTTGAAATGGTAATCAGCATTTTCTGGCTTTTTTGGCTCCAGATTTCAAAAAAGAACACAAGAACACACTACAGTTTTTATTTCTTGGACATAATGAATTCACAAGAAACTGGGAACTGAATACATGAGCATGATAATCTTTCAGGGTGAAAAGTACGAATTCACAAGAAACTGGGAACTGAATACATGAGCATGATAATCTTTCAGGGTGAAAGGTACCATAGATAGGTGTGGATTATTTAGTGCACCTGTAAGATGGTAAAGCACCTCCCAAGTCAAAGAAATTGTTTACTTACTTAACAACCTCTGCAGATAAAGGCATTAGTATACTGATTTTGCTTTTTTTGTTGTTGTTGCAAAGGTTACGAGTATCCTGGAACACGACATAGAACAAAAGAAAGGGAATTTCAGGGTGGATGCCAGGTTGCTCTCCTTCTCACAAGAGAAGCAACAAGAATTGACCATCGCAATGGTTGAAATGAGTGGAGTGACATTCCAGAAAGACGGATCTTTTGTCTGTACGGAAAATGCCTTCTCGGCCGTAGCAGCCCTGTGCGTGTCTCTGCATATTCTCAGTCTTCTGAGTAACTAGACTACGTTACATGTGTCCTCCCATCAGGAATGACTTGACAGGGCTGTTACTACAAGCCCATTTCTCTCTGCAAACTTTACACCTACATCTGTGAGGCATTCCTTATTAATGCTTAATGCTGATTTGAAATGATTACAAAAAGCAGGCTTAAGGCAAGAGAGTTCCTTATGGAAGCCAGATACCAAAATTGATTTTTCTTTCCCCCATACGAATGCAGAGCGCCAACTGAAAAATCCAGCAGCTCAAATAATCACAAGGCTGTCAGCTGCACTTTATGTGATCCTGCTTTTCCTAAAAAATGCTAGCACACAGCCGCTCATGCAATCAATAAGGCACAAAGGAATCAATCAGCAATAATTCGCTTACCCTGGTCGCACTGGTGATTCACGTGTGACCCAGTAAGCTGCTAAGCGTTAGAAAGCTGCGGGATGTCACACACCCGATAGAACAGCCCCTCCCCATACACGACCACACCCCACCAGCAAGGAACAAACCACAACACCGCAGAACAATGATACCAATGCTTTGATGACTGCTTTATAAATAAAAATAATCATTTCACAATGAATAACTGGCTGTTCTTAAAGGCAATTTTTAAATCTGCATCTATTTTCGGTGACTCAGCGGTGCTGCCTGCCTGGCGGCCCGGCTCCCCTCAGGCTCCCAGAGGAAGGGGTGCCCTCAGTCCGGGGCAGTGCTGCTTACCTGGGCGGTCACCGACGGCTCTGGGGGCACCACCAGCACCAGCGGCCTG